CTTAAGGCGGATCTGTAGATGTGTTCATGATAGTGTCAGTGTGGACATTGATTTCATAATGAGCGGTTAACTGTGAAGTTGCTCTTACTGTTGCAGAATCAAGGAAATTTGATTGTTGTTGGTTTGTTTCGCATATGTCTTTTGTCAGGAGTTGACATTTGTTCTTTATATCGACCGGGTATTTCTATACCTGTTGGCTTCTGGATTGTGTTCGCTCTAACGACGATTTCGTTATATCAAGGTTCGTTACATCGAGGTTCTGTCTCATACATTTTACTATAACTTTAGCTAGTTGAAAAGTATCGTTCTGTAATAAAAAAATAAAAGCATTTATTTACATACGACAAAATTACAGAGTAGCCTTTATCTTTTTGGCTTGATAGATGGAATACGAGGAAAATTTATCAGCTAATAATTTCTATTGTTACCATAGAATAAATTGGATACGTCCGGAAAAGGTGATTAATAATTTGTAATCAGAATAGACCCTATCCTGGGTGAAAATCAGAAAGTATTCAACTTTCGTTGAAATTTGTGATCTGCCTCACAAGGAACGTTTGTTAGTAGAAAAACGTTTTTCAAAATTACTTTGCCTACAAGACACAAGGCATAGCTCTTCTTACAATGAAAAGTATCTGTGGAAAACAAGATTGATTTTTGCCATCTTCACCAGTAAGTAATGACCAGTGATTGTTGTTTGACAAGATGATGCTTACCGTTGGTTTGTGATTTATGACAGGATCGGAGAGGGAATATCAAACCTGAAGCAGAATAGTCAACATTGGGTATCATGTGACTCAGACGACGAGCAGGAGTGTGAGTCAGTTTCTGATTCAGATGACGAGGGGGAGTAACTGACTCAGGCGACGAGCAGTAGTCAGGGTCAGTTACTGAATCAGATAAGGAATTGCTGCAGTAAATGGCTTGAGCCCGGGGGTAACATGTGAAAGTATAGTGTGATCGTCCGGGTGAGGGTAGTCCTGAGAAGGACTGTTGTCGGTGGTAGTGACTGACGTTTCGACAACCTGTGCGGAAGTCATCATCAGAGTCAAGTGAATAGTTGTTGTCAGTAGAATGTTCTTATTTCACTTCGTGTAAAACGATTGGTCAGTTTTGCCGTGATGTCATTGGCTGTAAGACTCAAGCTGCCTAAGTTGGTCGTGATTGGTCTGTTTCGATCCGTCGGTAAAGTTAGGTCGTTCTGTTCTGAAGCTGTGAAAAAAGACGCGTCCGTCTGCTATTAAGCAACAATAAAGGAAATAGTGCTAGTCTCTGGAATACCCTGAATGAATAATATTAACCTCTCGTGATAGCAAATCTGGTAGCGCACCCGCGTGTATCTCATTTGACGAAGGTTTGTAGAACTGACAAACCTCAACCAATTGCGAATGTCCTTAACAACTACTTTACATCGAAACTAACCAACACGTTAAAAGTAAGTGCAACTCTCTACGTGTGAACCTACGACATCATCTGTCTTCACATTTTGTGAGATAAAAAGAACACTTTTTGTAAGAAAATACCTCGAGTCGCTGAAAACTGAGAGTAATTGGACTGGACAAGATAAATTCTCGACTCATCACACCCTGCCTTTTGTTCAACAGATCACTTTTGTCAACAGTTTTTCCCGTCCATGTGGAAATGAGAAAGGTGGTTCCAATATTGAAGTCTGGCGACCGAAGTAACGCAAGTAATGACAGACCAATTACAAATCTACCAATTTTAGGCAAGATCATCGACAAAACCGTTCACACACAGCTTTATACTTTCCTCAAAGAGAACAAACTCCTTGCTCCCAAACAATTTGGTTCTCGTCCAAACCTTCCATTTGAGATGGCCCTCACTCATCTGACTGAGAACATTCTAGATAACGTGGACAACCGGCTTGTTGGTTTTCCTCGACCTCAGCAAGGCCTTCGATACTGTTCACCACCAGTTTTTGCTCAAGAAACTGAAATCTCTAGATGTGGATAACAATTGTATGGATTGGTTTAAGTCATATCTTTCTGCGCGTGAATAGGTCGTCTCTATTGGCAATTGTCTCTGGTGTCCTAAGCCTAACCCAGTTGGAGTACCCCAAGGTAGCATAGCCTAGCCACTACTGTTCATTGTTTCAGACACTGCATAATCATCCTCTAAGCTGATTACACCCTAATTTATCACTGTGTCAAAACAGCCAAGGACGTCGAGATTTATCCAGGTGACGATTTAAAAACTGTTTTGGCAGTGTAATCTGCTTACCATGAATGTCGCTAAATCATTTTGAGCCAAAATTTGTGTTATCTGAAATTACGCGTCGACGTTTGAAATTGTTTCTATCGCGATCAGTGATTTTCCTCATGATCATACTTGTAAGTTCTAAGTGCGACTTTTTTTCTTGTTGGTTTTTTTTCCTTCTTGCGTGTTTGGAGGTCATTTATTCAAGTCTTTTTCACTCTGTAAAAAACGTTTTAAAAATGCGATCAGAAGGACGGAAGATCCTTATTAATTTGAAAATCAGGCCACCGGTGGTATTACATGGGCAAATTGGATTCTCTCGACTTAGAGTACTATTTGTTCGGTGACTTAAACTGTAATTTGGCCTCTCCTACACCTGATACAAACACCCATCGTTTACTCGAGATTTCGGATTTATATGGACTGGAACAACTGATAAATTAACCAACGCGTGTTACAGGTATCTACACTAATTGATTTGATCTATACACATTATGCAGACGGGTTAGCCTGATCCAGTGTTTCCATGTTGTCATCAGCAATCACAGCCCTCATGGACACTCTTCTATCTCCCACAGAAATTTTCGACATTTTGATCGTGAAAATTTTCGAAATGAAATCTCTCAAGACTGGTCGTTCAATGAATCAGAAGATCCAAATTTAGCATGGTCTGATTGGAAAACAAAATTTTTGCGCGGTGTTAACTCACATGTTCCTCTTCGAACTAGACGTAATAAATTGAACTAAACGCCCCAGATTAATTCAGCCT